GGAAAAAAAAAAAAAAAAGAAAAAAAAGAAAAAAAAAGAAAGGGTTAATTAGCTAAAAGGTTCAAACCAGCAACTTTATGTCTCTTATATACAGTGGGATGCTCAGCTACCAAAAAGAAAACAGTGAGAGATGCATCACATGAAAGAGGCTTCTCAGGGCCAGGGTACCTGCTGTACAGAGGAAGCAGCTCAGCAGCCCCTGGGAAGCAGCACAGTGACAACTCCCTCCCCACCATGCCCTGCTTGTAGGGTGGAGACAAGTATTAAATAACCACTCAGGATGTTCCTTCAGTGCAGAGTTACCTGGGGTCCCGCGCGTGGCAGAGCCGACGTGCAGCTGGTGAGGAGGGTGAGCAGCTGAATGCCTTGACTCAGCAGTGGCTTTGTGCCCAGCTGTGCAGACTTCCCCTGCCTTATTCCAGAAACTCACTGCTGTGGCTAAAAATAGCTTTGAATTGGAAAAGAGTGGATGGGGGGCAAGGGGGGGGTCAACACAGCAACTTCCCACCTCGACAGCCGAGTATCCTGCTCATGGTCAAACCTGCTGAGATACGCAGGGAGCAGGAATTTGATGACTTCTCTCCTTTGAAACTATGGTTTTCATAGGGCTTCTATCCAACACAACGGAGAAAAATCCCACATCCTCACAGACTGTTAACTTTACAGAGGATTTCTCTTTTCATAAACACTTATTTTCTTTTCTCCCTCCCTTTCCCTGACTGCTCCCACTCCCATCTATGGAGTCACCTCTTCCCAAATGTAACCAACCCTCCAAATTACAGCCCCACTCTGACCTACCTACCACCAGGCAGCTCTTTGAGGTGGAAGCAGTTGAGTTATCCCAATCCAGAGTTTGCTGAACAGGGATCCATGTCATGAAAAAAAGCCACTGATAGTCACTGCCAGCAGAAACACCACAACCTCAATCAACTCTCCTGTTTGAAGTGGTCCCTCTGGCCTGGAGGACGCTGGAAAGTTGGCAGGTATGTACAGTGGGGATGGAGGAAGGACTTCACCTCCCTCTTCCATTCCTTGACTGCTGGAGACTCATGTCTGCTCTCAGCTGTGATCTATTGCCCAACTGGAAGCGATAGGGGAAAAAAGATGATCGAAGACAGCATTTGACTCTTTCCAACTCCGCTCAGTCCTCATCCATGTGATCTCCCTTTGCACTTCTGCACGGCTGGGGCTCGTAGAGCACATGAGAGATGGGAAAGGGGTGAGGAACTCAGGGTGCAGGCCTGGTAGCCAGCAGCAACCTGCTTCTGTTGGTGTTGCCAACACCGGCAGAAGAGCCCTGAAGAGTGCTGCGCTGCAGGAAAGCAAAAGGAAAGCTCTGGCTCAGCCCAGGAGGAGCTCCAATGCTGGGGAAAGCAGACACCACAGGGGCCTGAAGACACAGCCTGTCCAACCTCTTCTTTCCATTCCCAAACACTGCCAGATCTTTGCAGTTAAAGTCAGAGCTCCACAGACTGCAGCCAACTGTGGCCCATGAAAGTGGTTTCACATCTTGGGCTGATGTGGGTTAGATGGGACCCTTTACCCATGCCCTAGAAACAACTCAAGCAGATGGTGCATCGAACCCGCACCCAAAGCCACGTCCCCTTCACTGCCACCAGCCACCACTCCTGTGGGCTTGCTGTGACCTGAGGTGTCAGCTGGGGAAGCCAAGCCCAGGGACAGGGAGCAAGAAGGGTCCTGGCCAGGGTGCCATGAGAGCAGCTGCTTGGCTTGGCACCCAGCATGCTGACCAGTCCTTTTTCCCCTCCCTCATTCCCACCTTTCAGCCACCCGGCATGAAAAGCTGCCTTTTCTATTTTTTCACTCCGTTCATGGCCTGGCTCCCTTTCAAATTCCCAGAGAAAAGTATTTCCCTGCTGGAGGAGCGATGCCATCAGCCAGACCCCAGGCACGCCAGCGCTGCCGATCCAGCCCAGCCCTCTATCACAGGTCTCATCTCCTTATGGATAAGCTGGAGAGCTGCCAGCACTCGGGGCTCGGGAAAGGGCTCCCACCGATCCCTCCGGAGGAGAGAGAGTCAAGGACTTGTATTCATTAGCATTTTGAATTGTAGCTAGTAAATACCCTTCTGGCATTTAGGCTGGGATGGGAAACACAACAGGGACGTCCTTGAGATGCTGTAGCATTTTGCTGCTGGAGGCAAATGGACAAGAGTCACCTGTTAGGTTCTTCTGTGGGCTGCAAGGTCACCTCTGCTCCCTGGAGAGGAGCAGCAGTGGGATGGAGCATGACCCCCTGCTGGACTGAGTGGTACATCACCCACTCACCCATCCAGCACTGCAGGGGCCAGACACAAACACATGGCAATTATGCAGGGTGTGCAGTTTTGCAGCCAGGAGCTGCTCAGCAGTCCCACGGGACATTGTGGGATGTACCTAAGGATGGACCCCACAACACAAGCACATGCTTTGGATTGGACTCAAGCACCTCTGCTCTGCTTGTCTGCTGGACCCAAACCACAGAGACAACAAGACACATGGCACTGATGGCTGCTTGGCTGGATGGCCAGGAGCCACAGCTTCAAACACAACAGATCTGTGGGGCTGATACTCAGTACCCAAAGGTCTCCACATCCGATTGAAGCCTCATACTGGACAGAACCCCCTCCCAGCCCCCGATTTCTGTCTCAGTCCACAAAACAACACAAAGTTGAGGAAACCAGGTGTAAGAGTGAAGCTACCTTTCAACCCACCACGTGTGATGGTGCCTCAGCTAGCAGAGGGTTCAATAAGAAACTCCCTTTGCAATGCTGCTCACCACCCTCCCACATAGGCCTCCAAGAGTCATGCACAGGAAGCCCCCCCACATCCCAAAACAGCCCCAGGGACCATTAACCCCTGTGATAAACCCCCATCCTGCATCCCTGTTAGCTTGTCTTGTCCTTGTGCCTCTTGCTTGCCCTTGAGCTGCCACCTTTCCTGAGGGATGACTGGTGGGGTGGCAGGTTAAGTGGTGAGAAATAGCAGAGCAGGATGGATGAGAGCACCAGCAGACAGCAAGCAATTAGTTAATGGGCTCTGGGGCCCTCAGACCAATCTCATCAAGCGACCATGAGCTGCAGCAGGATTTATGACAGGCCAAGCAAATAGAGACAGAAGCCAAAGGAGGAAAGCAGGAATTTTTTTTTCAGAGAGGGAATGAAAAAAATCAAAAACCCAGAGAGCATATATATAGTCCACAGAAGCCTAATACTAAGCTGGACCCCTGAAAGGTTCAGTGTTGCTGCTCTGAGAAGAAAACCAAAATCCCTTTATCTACCTCCACACCCTTCCAATAGAGAACTATGTCAACTCAATTTACTGCCCTTCCTCTCACAATTAATCAAGGCTCCTCCGTTGCTCAACCTTCGGTAGAGCCGCACGTCGTGTCACATGCAGCAGGAACAGAGAGAGCAGCATAGCAGGAGATGGAGGCGGCTGTTCAGATTTATGCTGCTTGTGATTAGTAAGAGATGGGTGGCTCCTGGCCAAAGTAGCTCATAGTCACAAGACTTATAACCACACAGAGTTGCGTAAGGCACGCGAGATTCCTTGCAAATGTTCCTTGTTTTGCATGGAAAGGCTCCGGAGCATTGTTATGGATGGGGCTCATGGACATGGCTAAGGGAAAGAGACTTGCAAAAAAGGCAGAAGTCATTAGGGACCATGTGAAATGAGGCTTTTCAGACTGACCATGTTTCTGAAAACAGTGTTTGTGAACAGAAAGTGGCTTGGGAGGAGACCAACACTTCATGGGGTCCCAGAGAATTGTTCCCACTTCCCCACTGGAGAAGGTTATGCCAGGAGTCAGTTGAGTGGGCAGAAGTGTCCACTTCAAGCTGCAACGCCCCTGTTTCCTCTCCCAAAAAACCTCCAAATCCCAGATCTTGACTTGTGGGGAAGAAGAGTTGATGGACATGGTTCTCTTCTGGATACCAGCAAGTTCAAGGCAGTTTGTGTTTCATCACCATCCCAGTGGCAGTAGCCATGCAAGCAACTTACTCCTTGGGGGGCGACAAGTCATCAGGTCGTGTCTCAAAGAACTGGAGAACCTCTTCACACTGGGAGATGTATGGAGGCAGCTGGATCAGAGCCTGCAAATGAAACAGAGACACTTCTGATGGGAAGCATCAAGACTGAGCAAGGAGCTGAGTGAGGACAAGCCTTCAAAGCACAGGGGACTGGGTCAGGGCACAGAGCTCAGCACTCGTGCTTCCCAGCACACAGAAGCACAGAGCCAGGCTGGGGAGGGATACTGCAAACACACCAGAGTGGGGCAAGACCCAGCAGTGCCCAGTGACACCCACCACAACACCCCAGCTGCAATTGAAGAGTCAAGGAGAATAAGCAGAGAATGCCCAGGCCCTCCTTAGCCCAGCTCCAGCCTTTTGGAGAGATGTGCCCTTGCAAGGGAGGGGCCATGGGAACATCCATCCCAGCATCCAGCCTCCTGACCACGGCAGGATTCAGTTTCCCAGCCATGCTGTGGGCATGGAGCCACCATCCTCAGGAAAGGCTGGGCAGTTTAAACGTGGCAGACTCTCAGTGCCACCAGCCCTAAGGAGCACATCCCAAAAAATGCTCTGCTGGGCAATGGCAGTTCACAAGGAGGCAGGGAGAGAAGCAACAGAGAGACAAAAGCACAGACACAAGCTCGTTAGGGCAAGGGCTGGAAGGCTGCCACACATGCTGTCAAATGGCAGGAGCAAGGAGCTGCCTCTGCTTTCCTTCTCTCCCTTCGAGGAAGCCTGGTGCAAAAAGGCACATGTGTGTCTGTGGGAGCTGGGGCAGAGTCTGGAACCTCAATATTTGCCTTGGGCCACAGCTCTTGTAGGTCCTTTCCAACGTGGGCTGCAGTGAGGGCTGGGCAGGGGGGATGGGCATTGCCTGGCAGGGAGGCCTGCCCAGCTCTCTGCTCCTGGGAGGGAACAGGGTCACAGATGATGGCAACTGCAAAAAGTTAAAAAAAAAAAAAAAGCCATGCAATTGAAAAAGGGATGATTTGAAACCAGAGAGCAGTGCTGTAGCCCAGCCTGAAGCAGATGTTTAACCAATTTTCTATATAATTCCCTCTCCCCTCCATTTGCTGTCACAGCAGTCTCGTGACAACAGTGTGGGCAAAGCAAACCTTCACTCATTTCTGTATTGGAGACAAAGCTACATCTGCAGAGCCCCAGGGTTACCACACAGATCAGATGTGGCTCCATACTGACCTAATTGCTGGCCCCCAAAAGCCCTTCCAGCCATTCAGCACACATTCACTGCCAGCACAGCAGTCAGACCACTAACCAGGGGCCAGCTGCAATCAAGATCATGTGAGAGACAGAAGAGAGAAAACTACTCACTCCATGGCTTTTGGGACCAGGGAAGGGGTATTCAAAGACCAAGTTTTGCATGGATGCCATTCCCATGTGGGTACCACTCCCCAGCTCCAGCCAACCCATGATCTACGTAATTTCAGCCATGCCAAAATCAAGTCTAACTTCATGGCCTGGAGAAGGCTCCATGTCCTCCAATAGCAGGGGTGGATGGCAGAAAATACCCTGTGCTGGAAGGGTGAAAGGCTCATTTCTCAGGACATCTTGAAGGAAGCCCACCTAGAGCTGACTCAGCTGGCACAACAGTGGCCCAGTCAAACAGGCCACCCTGCAGTCTAGCTGACTATGGTCTACAGCAGCTACTGCCACCAAATAAAAAAGAGCAGCACAAATACTGGGATATCTGTCCCACCTCTGAGTTTGCCTCTCAAAGGAGTGAACTGGGGAGGGTCTTCAGAACATGGCTTCAGCCCAGGTGCTGGAGCCACAGCAAGTCTCCTTACTTGCCCTGCTGCCTGCAAGCCTGAGAGGAAGGTCATTTACCAAAGACAGACAAGATTTAGAGCACTGAAATCCATTTTCCAGCAATTTCCTCAGTGGCACACCCAGTCTCATTGGGGTAGAGCATCACAGCTCTGTAACTCCTTCATCAACCTCTCAACTTACACTTTCTCAAAATCCTTTAGACAGGAGGAAGGCAATTCTCACACCAGTGGAAAGACCAACAGATGTAGAACACAGAGAGAGTAAACTGGATAAATGGGAAGAAATGTTAGGGTTCTGCTCCCCCTCCTTGTCATTCTCATGGTCCTTTGGAGGCACCTGGTTGCTCTTACCAGTTGCTCTGATTCTTTTGCTGCTTATTTTAAATTGCTGACCTGGAACAGAGCCCTTAAGCAAGAGCACTTTGTGAAAGCAGTGGTTCCCTCCCTTGCTCCCCTCGCCTACTTCCACCCCAAATGTCACCCACCTTCTTTCCAGGGCTCTCCCAGCAAATGAAGGCACCCTACTTCTCTTGTAGGAGATGGCAAGAAAGCAGAAACTTTCTTACACAGTTTTCTGTAGGAACTCGTTTACAACATGTTCACCTAACCCTCAGTTCTCAGCAGGGCAAAGCTGGATGAGATATTTTCTATTTCTGTTCTGCACCACAACCCTCCAAACACGTGCCACGTCCACCTCCAATGATAAACATGCAGTAAGAATGTGCTGGGACCCCGCAGGTGTGATCTGCAGCACAAAGTGGCCAGGAGGGACATCCCTGGCTCCTGCTGGCTCCTTGCTCATTCCATCTCTCTGCAGCCTTCAGCCCCACACCCACCTTCAGCTCAGCAGCTTTCTGGGTAAGTAGCAGTGACTGGAAGGCCAGGCACAGTGTGCATGTTATTACTTGGCAAGGCATTAACTGGAGGAGGAGAGAGCAGCTCTCTAAGTGGGTCATATAACATCAGCCATTATGTTCCAGTTGTTAAGTCAAATGGTTTCATTATATTTTATGCCATTAGTGGAATCATTCTGCAAGAGATAGCTGCAGCATCTTATCACTTAGGGACGTTTTCTTCCCCAAAATTAAATTTGTTCTGTGTGTCTGTATGTAGCTGGCATATTTAGTGACTCAGAAGACAAGGGGCTGATCATGCCTGGCTGGAGCCAAGTGGTTGCTTGCACCATCAGCTTCCCCCATGCTGTATGGAGCAGGCAGGTCCACGCACACCTTGTGCTCCATCTCCATCTCTCTGCTGTCATCTGCTATCCTGGCCCTTGGCAGTGTTCACCCACAGCCCCACTGCAGAGCTGTCAAGATGTATTTACTAATTCACATTTATCCTGATACTTGTTATTCCAGCCACAACATCCCTTCCATGGGTCTGGCTGAGTTCCAAAACCCAGCCTCTCCTATCATGCAAAGTCCCAGGCCAAAGTAACTGCTGCACTTTCTAAGGAATGTTATGGATATTTCACCATTTCCCCATCTTCTCCCTTGGGTTTTGCAGCTTTTGTATATGTTTTCAAAAGCATTCAGACTGGATTTTGGAGGTACCAGTCCTACCTCCAAACTTTTCATGGCTCCTGCAAGTACTTTGCACTTCTTTGACATGATGAGATGTGACATACATTCTTTCTGTGAAAATAACTTTTTATGGAGTTTATGACATTGTAATGACATTGTACAAATGACATTGTAATTTGCCTTATACTTAAGTACAATCTTCTGTTCTTCAAGAGTATGGGGAAAATCATCTCAGCTGTATCTCTGTTGACTGGAGGTACAAGTCACCTTACCCCTGTGCAAATGTTTCACATAACCAGTAATAGGAGTTTGGGATCATGCCACCAAGAAAGTTTGTCTTCTACATAAAACAGCAGGTCTGCTCCCAACAGATGGGAAAAGAAAGGCTCCCTGAGGAACCGAGTCCTTCAAGCCTAGTTCTGCACCCAACCATTGCACTCCAAACCGCCTACCAGAGAGGTCCCAGCCAGGCAGCCAGTTCCTTTCCAGCCCAACTAGAAAGCTGGTTCTGGTTTGCAGCTTGAGAAAGGAGAAGAGAGAGGGAAGACACAGCAGCAGGGTGCAAGCTGGTGTGGAGCTGGGCCACCCTGCAAACTCAGCCCTCCAAGCTCTCAGCATTAATCACATGGAGTGAGAAGTGAACCAGTGGGTGGGTTTTTTTCACAGACAGGGCTTGCTAGCAGGGGATAGCCCACACTTCCTGTTCTCCCAGCACTGGAACATCACTGTAAGTTGTCAAACAGGACTCATCAAGGGGGCTTCATCTTTGGTGGATGCAGGAACCTCCCCTCACCTTGCAGTACTCATCAATAGGGATCAGGCGCTTCACTGCAACATCGCGGATGTGACTCCGGCGGAACAGGATCTTGCCTGAAACAGGACAGAGAAAGAAGAGCAGGTCAAGACAATGCCCAGGTACACTCTTTTGAATCACTCTGTCAGGACCTGTGCATCCTCTTCTTGCCAAAAAGCACCGTACCTAAAAAAACAACACACAAAAAAGATGCCTGTTCCCTCCCATACATTAAATACTTCGCCAGAATAAAGCACATCTAAAGTTGCAAGCACGTTCAGGGAGAGGGAAGATGCAACACTTACCAGCAAACTGCAACCCCATCTTCTCTCACCAGTGTGGTGATGATGATGGAGCAGCCCCTACCAAAGCACCTGCCTGATACCTCACAGTCTGCTGGCAACTCCTGGGTGTATAAGCCCACTGGCAAATGCCAGCAGTGGCCAGAGGAGTGGACATCCCTGTCACTGCCAGTGCAGGTGGGACTGGTGTTGGAGGGTCCAGGCTCTCTCAGGGCACCTGTGTCTAGTGTGGGCAGAAGCCAAGCCAGAGGTTCCTCTCTGTTCAACTCCTGTATCAGCTGGTGCCGGAAGCCCCAGTGTCGGGGCTGCAGTGCTGAGTCAGACCTATAGGATTTTCCTTCCTGTCTGGGGTTTATTTGTGTTCTCCCTTAGCGAGATCCTCCTGCCACTCGGTTTCCCCCCTCTGGCTTGTGGTACAGGCCTCTTTCCTTTGAAGTCTAATGAGTCTTAAATGCTTCAAGCTGCTTTCACAGAGAAAAGCTTCTCTGGCATTTAATGAGACAAAAGCCATTAGCAGACAGTGAAAGAGATACTGCAGGGACTCGGTGATCAGGACTGGTACTGGTAGGATTTCAGACCAGCACTTCCCAAAGCACCAGGAACTGACACTGCTTTGCAATACAATCACCTGAAAATTTGTGTTTTGGGAGAGTGAATGGTAATGAAGTTCCCTCAAGCTCCTCCTGACATCTCCCATACCACAGGGAAGTCTTGTCTCTTTTTTGTCTCTACTTGGGTTTCCAATCCCACCACCAAGCCCAGGAAAAGCAACTTGTGTCTGTCCATATAAGCCCTTCACTTATCCAAGAGGTCACCATGAGGCAATCCAGAAGCCAAATTCTCCTCACAACCAAATACAAACAGACCCTCTGTGCAACCTCTGGAGAGCCACACACCTTTTGGTGCACCATGACAAGCTTCAGCCCCAGCAGCCCCCAGCCCTTGCAGGAGCCACAGCATTGCTGGAGCCAGAGGCTGGATACTGCCAAGCTACTCCAGAACAGGACATGTTAAAAGGTCCACACACTTATCACAATTTTAAAACAATTTTAAAAGGGCTGGGTCACCCCCTCACTTCTCCCTGACTTATCCAGGATCTGGCAGATGCATTGTGCAGCCTGCCAAGGCATTTTTTAAGCAGAGAGGAACTAAGCCAACCCAACTTCAGCTTGCAAGGAGCAAGAACTTTATGGAGGAGCCAAACGTCCTGCCAGGCTCAGTTAATGCAAAATGCCTTCAAAACTGGACTGTCCAAGGGAGCACACAGCAATCACACTCAGTACTGGCTCTGTACTTGCCCTCCAGTGAAATACAAAGGGTCAGGCCAGCTCATTCCAGAAGGATTGCTTCTCACTTATGTCCTGCTGACAGCGAGGGGCTGAGACATTCATGGTGGGAAACACTCTGCTCTGAAATGCATTCCTTCCTGCAGCCTGCCAGAGCCAAGTCTGGCAGTCTTTATGACACAGTGAAAAAACAAAATACCCCTCTATCCAATCTGTCTTTTAGATTTTGAGGGTGAATAGCCTGGGAACATAGAAGTTGTCTGGAAAGACTGGGAGCGACAACCAGGTCAGAGCTCCTTTCCTTGCCTATGGGAATGATTTTCCATCAGACAAGTGAATGATCAAGAGTTTTCCCTTCTCATCAGCAATCACAGTGTATTTACTGCATAGGTTTATATCTGAATGATTATTTTTAAAAAGATGAATGGATCACAATAGTTTTGTTGGCAATTGTAAGAAATAGCTGGTTTGGTTTTACATTTGCCAAAATGAACTCTCTGATGGGCGGGTACATTAGAAAGGTCTGAAACAATAAACTCTTGGTGTGGGAATATTTAAATGTTTAACAAACAGATGCTAATGAATAATAATTAAAGGAATATAGTTTGAGGGAACAAATACATCACAACTGAAGAGCTCTTAAATTAGCCCAGGCACAGAGCATATGAACCCACAGGAAATCCAGCTCCTCTCTTGATTTACTCTAGATCTAGAGTTTTTCAACAAAGAAATTAATTTTCTAACAAAACCCCAGTTTTAAACAAAAATGCCTAATTAACATAATTTCAGACCTTTCAGTGCTTCCAAATGCAGATATATAAATCCTTGACTTGAAAGGCAAAAGACAGCAGGAAACTGCTTCCCTCCTGGAAGGGAAAGATGGGTCAATGAGGCACAACATTGTCCTAGACACATTTTCTTTAGGTCATATCTATGAAATGGAAATAACAATGCTGCCCACTGAGCTTTTCACATGGCAAAAGACCATATAATGCAAGAGAAAAGTGTGACCTCCTTCATCTCATATCTGCACCCTCACTGCTGTAGCTCCAGGAGACAAAGCAAAGGCAATGGTGCCCATCACCCATACCTTGTTCTAAGTGTTCTCTGCTTTACACTTTTTTGGGCTGCATCCAGGAGCTTGTAACGACTCACTCTGGTACCCAGCCTGATGCCCTGCTAATTGTCAGGTGGACTTCTCCTCCTGTCCACAGCAGATACTTCTTCATGTTGAAGGGGAGGAGAAGAATCAGGATTAGCTCCTCTAGATCCTAAAGGAAACACATGGCAAAGAAAGGGGCAGATGGGCCAAGGCAAGAGGGAAGTTATGTCTGTGTTGAAGACTGTTGGATAATTGCTGTCCTGGCCTCTTGCAATGAGCAGCCTGACACACAGCTACTGTGCAGACAAGAACATGGTCACTGGCACAGCTTTGGCACAGTGTGACCTGGCTCCAGGAAGAGGCAAGACATGCAGAACAGTGAGAAGAAACATCTGCATGGAAAGATGCCAGCAGAAAAGAGTGGAAGGTCTCTCTGGGGTCTGATTTTTCCCAGTGAAGTTTCCCAGTTGGCTGGACTGTTCACTCAAAAAATCTGCAGCGTGACAGACACAAAGCAACAGAGATGGAGAAGCAATTTCAGCTGCCTTCATGGTATCCAGCAAGAGCAAGGACAGCCTTGATGTAGTTCAGATCCCTGACTCCTGGATGCCTGCAAACTCACCAGAATTTGCTCCAACATGAGAAAAATAGCTACCAGCTCTACTTGTTGTTTAAGAACATCCTTTGGCGAGACTCACTTCACTCCAGACAGCCTCATAGCAGTGCTCCTGCTCTCAGCCTCAGCATCAGTGTGAAGAATACAGAGGGAAGACACGTGAAGGAAGGCAATTCTGCACATCTCACTGATTATCAGCTGGTCAGGTCAGTGCTGCTGCAGCCTCCACTTCACCAGCTTCTCCCTCTTGCCACAACTCAAGCACTCAGAAATTATTAGATTTTCTTATTTACATACATAATGTTATGTATGAGCAATCAGAACAACAAGTCTCCCTCTTTTCTAGTACAAGAAAACCACTGCACAAGAAAGTATTGTAAAAATATACTCTCCTTTATACACACAAACAAAGCTACGAGTAGACTGAACATTTACCACCTGGGAATGTGTCAAGTAAGTTGATTTTGGAAAAAGAAGACAGAGATAAGGCACCACTACAGAGTGGCTGCCCTGGCAAGCCTCCCTGCACAAGAAGTACCCAGATTCTAGGACATGCTGCCTGCTTTTTCTGCATCTTGAAAACCTGTAATTCCTACAGGGAAAAAGTGGTGCCTCTGAGGGGGACAACGGCTCTGAGGACAATCTGTGCAAAAGTTACAATTTAGAAAGTGTTCTTTCTTCAGTAGAAGCTACGACACCTCATTCCAGTGAATATAATTATTATACCTTACAGTGATGTAACTGCAGATACACCAAAGCACTGCACATGCCTTGCTTGCCATCCATTTGCGACCTCCCTTTCCCAGCAGAAGTTGGGTGCTTTGCAAGCATCTGCTCTTTAACTGCAACCTGGCAACGATATCAGGCTCCACCAGCTCATGGACTGGAGAAGTCTGACCACAACCCATCCTTTACAGTCAGAGGAAATCAGACTGAAAGGGAGAGAGCTGAAATATATGCAGCTCCTTAAAAATCAAAGCAAATGAAGTCTCTCTGCACTGATCTTCAGTGTGAAAGTGGGTGGATGTTGCCTTTCTACATGTCCTGTCTCCACTGCCTCTGCCATTCATCAAGCACTGCAAAGCACAGGAGAGCTTGGGGAAGCAGCTGATAAGGAATTCAGATCTCCAGCAGTATGAGGCCACAAGAGGGGTTAATCTCTCCAAACAAACAGGTAGGGAAACAGGGCTCTGCAAATTATTCCCTCCTGTGAGAAATCTCCAGGCAGAGCTGAAGTTATTCTGGGGAGTAAGGAGCCGAAAAGAACGAGGCAGAGGCATTTCAACCAGCAAAATGGTTGAGGCTCCTCTTGAACCAGAGGCTGTACTGGATCTCCAGCAAGCTGGAGGGGCAGAGAACCTGAAACACATCACCCTGCAGATCACAGCCATGAACCAAGCCAGATATTTCAAGGGTAGAAAACTGTCTGTGCCTCTTGCTTTACCCTGAAGGACTGCCCCCACTCCTCCCGCCCCACTGCCTCGGAAAGAATTCACTTCTCTGCACCTTTCAAATCACATCCAGATTTTCCCTGGCACGGGTTCCAAACTCACTTCAAAAAAAGGCAGCCCCAAATGTACACATAATTAGTCCCAGCCCACGAAGCAGCCAACTACGTGGGCTATTCCTAGGACGGGGAAGCAGCCTTGGGAGACGGTGCTTCCAGAAGCCCTGCACTTTGCATCTGTTTGGCAAAGTCCTGCCCTGTGTACATATCCTGGTGAAAAGGAGGGGGGCCAACAATGTGCCTCTGGGGCTGTCCTGGGTATAGCACAGACAAGGAGTTCCATATACTGTGAAAGGAAGCCAAACTAAACGTTGCTCCCCCTCAAGACAGTCCCTCACACTCTCACAATTTGAAATCCTGCTGGAGGGAGCACAGTTAGTCCTGGTAGTTTGACAATATCATAGAATCATAAAGGTTGGAAGGGACCTTAAAGATCATCAAGTTCCAAAACCAGCAAAATGGTTGAGGCTCCTCTTGAACCAGAGGCTGTACTGGATCTCCAGCAAGCTGGAGGGGCAGAGAACCTGAAACACATCACCCTGCAGATCACAGCCATGAACCAAGCCAGATATTTCAAGGGTAGAAAACTGTCTGTGCCTCTTGCTTTACCCTGAAGGACTGCCCCCACTCCTCCCGCCCCACTGCCTCGGAAAGAATTCACTTCTCTGCACCTTTCAAATCACATCCAGATTTTCCCTGGCACGGGTTCCAAACTCACTTCAAAAAAAGGCAGCCCCAAATGTACACATAATTAGTCCCAGCCCACGAAGCAGCCAACTACGTGGGCTATTCCTAGGACGGGGAAGCAGCCTTGGGAGACGGTGCTTCCAGAAGCCCTGCACTTTGCATCTGTTTGGCAAAGTCCTGCCCTGTGTACATATCCTGGTGAAAAGGAGGGGGGCCAACAATGTGCCTCTGGGGCTGTCCTGGGTATAGCACAGACAAGGAGTTCCATATACTGTGAAAGGAAGCCAAACTAAACGTTGCTCCCCCTCAAGACAGTCCCTCACACTCTCACAATTTGAAATCCTGCTGGAGGGAGCACAGTTAGTCCTGGTAGTTTGACAATATCATAGAATCATAAAGGTTGGAAGGGACCTTAAAGATCATCAAGTTCCAACCCCCCTGCCATAAGCAGGGAACCCTACGAGTAGACCAGGTTGCAGTATTACTGAGAAAACTGCAGAACACAATAAGAACTGGGGCAAGACAATTCTCAGGCATCGGATGAGATGGCCAGAGGAACAGGTCTAAGAGATACAGTCTCCCAAAGTATGTGGGCAGCACTGATGCCCATGCCAAGCAAGTTAGCAGGCTTGGAAGGGAGTAGAAAGGAGGCATAATCCTGCTTTTGAAAATTATCTCACTGAACCCACTTTCTCTTCCTTTCTTCCCGAGCGTTCACTATTGTCTGTAGCTAAAGCTTCCTGAAAAGCAATTTTACAGCCAAAGTGAGCTCAGTGTAAGGCAACCCCTCCTTGCTGAGGCTCACGTTTCCAGTGAAGGAGACTGGCCAGGATCTGCTCCGGGCCACTTGGGCTGTGCGAAGTTTGGAAGGCTCCTCTCTCCTTATAAAAGCTGTTTCCTGAAAGATCTGGCACAGCCCTCATGCAGCAGGCCCAACTGAGCTCATTTGTTTTCTTAGTTCATTCTTTCCTGGGGTCTCCATACCACCATCTCCCAGCCAACACGCCTGTAACCCTTAGTGTGAACTCCTGCAGGCGAGGACAGGGCCAGCCTGTACCACCCCCGGGCTGGGCAGTGACAGGGCTCCTCTCTCACCAGCTGCTCCTGACTGCACTCCAGGGACAGCAGTCGATGCCATGCCTTGGCTGGGTGCCACCAGGGCTGCTTTGAGGAACCACCCCCAGCACCGCATGAAGCCGGGCAGGCAGTGCCAGTGGCTTGAAGCCAGCAAAAGTAGACAGGAGTCCACTGCAAATTCCCCTAGATGCTGGGAAAGGCATTTCAGGGGCACTGCAATGTCCTGCCAGGCCAAATGGGACCCCACCAAGATGTGCTATGGGATGAGGGAGGTGCCAACACCCGGGAAGGGACAATCCCTGGCTCCAAACTTCAATTGCAATTGCTCTGCTGCACTGCTGAGGACCCAGCTTTATGACCCCACTTCAGAAGAGGTGAGTGGGCTGAAGGACTTGCACTTACGAGAGCACTTTCTTGTACCATCAAAGGCCTATTTCAAAAGGCCCAAAGTCTCTAAGTATTTCGCAGTCTTCAAATCATAGGAGCAACCATTAACAAAACAAAGCAACACAAAGCAAACAGAGTTCCTGGAGGCTAAATCTTGTATCAACAGAGTAATCATGAACTCTCTTTCCATTCAAGGAAACCAGCCTGACAGGCAAACCCAGATGGCACCTTCTCAGGTCGTGGTGGTGACTCTGAGTTTGGGACACTTGGGGGTTTGCTAAGCAAGCCAGAGCTGCAGGAAGCACAGGGTCACAGGAGGCACTTTTGAGAACTGCCGTGGCCACAATGTTTAATGTTAAATGACAACAGGCTTCCCAGAAAGCAGCATACTTTCAGTAAACCACTGGAGCCACATCTCCACTGCTAATGAAATTCAGATGTTAAAAATTTTGCTTAAAATGGGATTGGGATCAACCTACAGTACTTGCATGAACTGAACACAATGAAACCCTAGCAAGTGAAAGCATCCTAGAGCCACGCTTTGTAGAGAAAGAGACCCAGGCTGTTTGCAGTGAGCTCACGTGGGTGGCACCCCTAGGCAGAGAGAGATGAAGTTTGGGTTCAGCTGTGACAAAACCCATTGCCATCCCAAACTGGGAGGGCCAAGAACTGCTCCAGAAAGGATCCATACTGCCCTGCACGTTTTCTAGCACAGCCAGCAACTACAAGAAGAGCCTTCCCTTACACCCAAGTGAAGTCAGCTTGCAAGCCATCTCACTAAGAAAGTACAGCTCAACATCCTGCTCTGGAGAAAGCCACCAGCTCTTGACTGCTCCATGCTGCACAGAAAAGGCAGGAGGGAAAAAGCAACATGATTCCCACTTCTTAACACCACGACTTCCCTGAAGTAAGAGGACTTCTGAAGCTGCCCCATGACAACAGGCAGATGCAAGATTATCTGTCTTTCTAGTGGCTATCTCCTGCTCAGAGGCAAGACAACCATCTCGTGCTGCCACCTTCTCACCACACCACTCCTTGTCCTGTGCTGGCTTCTGGAAGTACAAGTGGTAAAGCTGAAGGTGCCAGCTGTTTAGCCATCAATAGTCTCTCTCTTCTTAGCTACCACAAGCTAATGCTGAAATGAAATGTCAAGAGAAAATTCTGGAAGAAGCCTGGACTAGTGGTTTTCCAAGCCAAGATACCTCTGAAAATTATATTATTTAATCCTGTTGCAAGAAGGGGACCAGAGCAAAAGGGTAAATGTCTCTGCAGAGGACACACAGAAACGCACAAGCTCGTCTAGATGATGGTCCCTCCTAATTCCCCAAAACTGCTTTTTTACACAAAGAGTGAGGCTTTATTTTCCAGCAGCTTCAGCCCCCTTTTTCCTCCAGTGGAAATCCCAGTGACCTGCCTCTTAGAAAAGGGAAACTATTTCAACACCAAGAAGAAACAGATGCTGATGAGTGTGCTGCAAGAAGCAGTGCTCCAACCAGCCTCCCTGAGCCCCATCTCTGCCTTCCAAAACCAGCAGCATTTTGGTGGGAAATTTCTGCAAGTGCAGCATGGCCAAAGCCTACATCCAATTTTTCCAAGTTATGCCCTTTGCCAATTTGGCTTCAAATTTTCCACCCTACTCCTTGCTGGCAGGAGTACTTGTGCAGCAAGAGCTTTTCTGCTGTATTTATGTCAGGTGTGCTTTGCCTTGGCTGATGTTACCAGACAAGGACAAGCCAGAATCAGAGATCCCTCTATGGGAAACTCAAACTAAGATTCTTTTGCTCAGAAAGGGGAGTAAATAATTTTCTTCATAGCAGTCAGTAATAGCAGAAAGTAATGCCCACTAAATGCCTCTATGTTTCTAGAAAAGCCAGGAGACAGAGCACAAAGGGCTGCACTAAATGGACCAGACAGTCACTGGAAGTGATTATGGTGCTGTGACATTTCTAAATATGCCCATTAGCTACTTGGGGTGGGGGTAAAAACTCCGTGGTAAAAGCCTTTGGCTGTGGGTTCATGAAACACTCCCAGGGCCCCCTCAGGCTGGTTATTTTTGCAAGGCACATTAAGGTTCCTTTTTTCCCATAGCAGAGGGCAGCCACAAGCAATCCCCCACTCCTCACAGTTTGCCATGTACCACTGCATCTATTTCTCAGGCACACAAATGCTAAGCTGCATCTTGGGCTGGCAGGGAATACAACATGCCACAGAAATCCTGTCTTTGAGCAACTAGTCCCAAATATCACAGGAAGAAGCCAAGGCTGTCAATCAGCTAATTCATCATGTGGAATTCAATTGTTATTTCCTTCTCTCTGGATGGTGATTTGAGTTGTACGGGGCAGGAAAAACAGCAGTTCCTGGGGAGCCTCACACCAGCCTCAGCCCTGTGCCTTGCTGGCCAGACCCTTCCAAAAACAAGCAGGGTGCTGTGGGGTTGCTCCTGGCAAAAGCTGTGCAAGCAGGGTTGCTTAGCTGAAGTCCCCCATGGATGCCTTCTGGAGAGAGGGAGAATGACTGGAAGGGTTTAAGATTTGCTGGGCATACTGGTAACAAATACAGATGTTTCACTGGACACGGTGCAGGCCGAGGACTTGCTATTGCTCAGCTGGTTCAGGAGATAAGAGGTAAAGCACATGTATGCTCACAGATGTATTGGGAAAAAGCTCCTGCCATGCCAAAACCAGCATGTTTTTTGCTGGAGTCCACTTGCCTACCTGGCAGAAAGGGGATGATCCTTTGCTTGGGGTCCTTCTGTCCTCCTTCCATCGGAAACTTGTCCAGCATTTGCATCTAGAAATGGAAATGCAAGAGAGGTGATTAAAGCCAGTGATGAACTTGCATGACACGTGGCCACTCTCCCCAGGAGGAGGTGAAGCCCTTTCACCAAACCAGCAGTGTCCCAGGCATCATTCACAGCACCATCAGCCAGGGTACAGTGACCTGCAGCTCCAAGGGAAGCACATCCAAAGCAGTGCCAGAAACACAAGACTGTAGCGTTATCTACACTATTTTCAAGACATTTCCCACCACTGATGTTGCTCATCACTACCATTCTGTTTAGCAAGGGTGATTCATGTAACCTGCATTTCTGCAACTATTAAGCTTCATTTTGATGGACCTGAGTCACTAGATCTCAAAAAAGGCATATTTTAAGCTAGTTAACTCAAACATAGCATAGCACTGACACAGTTCCTGGACTACAGGAGCCAACTCATGTTTGCCTGCAAAAGGCCATGAAGTTATAAGTCAAGTTTGGCAAATGCTTTCTGCTACACAGGCTTGAGGGATGAATGCTTCATGGGATCTTCAGCATTTAATAAATAATTTCCTGACTAATGCAACTGCATTAGTAGGTTTAGTCAGCAAAGGGAGGTAATAACCAGCTCCTGCTGTCACTGGGTGTCTGCACTGGTGCTTCCACACATGCACACAACCTCCTTGAAGCTGCTATTATGCTTAATACCAATGCACTGGCAGGATACATGTCCTCAGCTTTTCCTTTCCTTGGTCTTGCTGGAAAACACTATTTGGATTTTGGGCTTTGCACTTTACGCAGAGCAGAAGAGGAGAAAGAGGATGCCCTGCTGTCTCTCCAACCACTCAGATACTCCCTTTGGAAGGAAGGGGAAGGAGATACAAACTCTCCCTTGTTTTCTCTGGGACATGGATCTGAGCTCTGTATCCTGCCACCTGAAGAGCTGGTCCTTGGGGTATTCGAAATGGGTCTTGCCCTCTCCTATTGGAGCTACTGCATTCTGCATAAATAACTAAGCAGTTACAGAAACACTGGAGACAACCTGCCCAGGAATTGTCCTGTGCACATACAAAATCCAAACAGCCACTCTCCTCTGGCACAATCAATATTTAAAGTAAAAACGCAAAGAGGAAACTATGCAACCAGAGAGCCCAAACCATTCCTATCCCTATTCCATCAGAGGCACCTGCAGGCAGCCCCTGCCCATCCTGGCAGCAGGACAGGCATCACAGCCAGACACACAGCCCTGCTCCCCCCTGCCGGCTGCTCTGCCACGCACCATCAGCAGCCCCTCACCATGGGGAGCCCTTGTAGGGCCAGACTCAGGGGTCCTCATGCCCCTAGGGGACATGTCCCACCTGGCTCCTTGATTTCCACAGCTCTTATTCTTTGGCATCTATTTTCCATATGCTTTTTACCAGAGGTATCTGCTCTTAGCTAAGGGCTGTGGACTCCTCTACTGCTAGACAGGAGCTTGTTTCAAGCACTGGAATGCCAGTGCTAAAACCTTTTTGCCAACAGAGCCCTCTGCTCCCCTGCACAGGCAAAACTTGCAGTTATTTTTTTCCTTCTTGGATCTCAAATACACCGGAATAAAATTCTTGAGGTTTGGTGAAGAGGGGGCAGAAGGAAGGAGATATTTTTTTTTCTACAATTTGAGAAGAAATAAAAAACTCCCCCAACATTCCCAAAGACAACAAGAAAACCAAAATAAGCTCTCAAATATTCTCTTCAAAATGAAAACAAGGCAACTCAAAACCAGGAAGTCACCAAGCACAAATGGACTCTGTTTACAGCTCCTTCCCAGGAAAAAAATAAAATAAATCAAAATAATTAAATGGTTTACAGCAAAGAAAATTACTCCAGACTCAGCAACAACTGGGGACTGTAGTGACATTACCAGCAGCCACAAAATGAGCCCGAGCACAGCAGAGGGAGGACCTGCCTCCCCGAGGCACTGCAGTCTCCCTGGGCATGCAACACCCTCCTGTTCTTCCCTCAGTTCACAAGAATAAAGGATGACACCACATCCCTGTTAGCCTGCGAAACAGCCATGGCAGAGAGGTGCCTCTGGCCCTGCTCTTCCTGTTGGGAAGAGCCCAGGAAAGCTTGTGACTGGTGAAGGGTGAGCAAAACAAGACGCACACGCTGCACATCTGGTTGCTGTTAAGCATCGCAGCGCCTGAGCCACTGGAAGCTTTCCTCTGCCCTCCGTGCTGAGCACGAGCTGAGGATCTGTCACTCTCAGGAGCTCTGGGAGCCTTCAAGGCACAAAAGGTGCAAGCTGTGATTTCTCCCACACGCACGGGCCTGGACTGTGCCTCTGGCCAGATCTGCTCCCGACCACGTGATCCCACCAAACCCAGCCAGAACTTCAGCCCAAAAGTTCTCCATTTCCTTTTGCTTGACCAAAAAGTGCCTCTTGCAGCAGCTGCTCAGTGAGCAGGAGGCAGCTCAGGGACCCTCTCCCTGCAGCCACCCAGCTGCCCTCCAGCCCAGCCTGGAGCCACCAGCATCACCTCAAACCAGACAGACCAGGCACTGCACTGGCTGCTATGGGTTGGTACCATTATGCTTGTGCACTCACAAGCTGCCGTCTCTTCTCTTGCTGGAGGGAGGAAATGAGGTTGCAAGGTGCTTGGAGCACCCTCCAGCACACACAGAAAGAGAAGGTGGAAAAGGAGCAAGGGAGAGGCCTCAGTCCCATATATTCCACCCAGCCTGGCGGCCACATCACGCAGCTCCAGAGAAGGCAGCGACAAAGACTAGTTTGTCAGTGTTACACCAGCCATGAGCCTGTGGCTGAAGAACAGCCGGAAAACGCCAAAGCAAACAAGCGCAGCGCCGACTGTGCCCGCAGCAGGCAGTGGTGTTAGCAAGACACAAGAGGACACGTCTGCAGAAACCCAGCCCGGGGGCCATGGGCAGGCAGCTCTTCTGTAGCACTACATGCTGTAAAGCTGCAGTGAGGAAAAGCAAGGAGCAGCCATGGGAAAAGGTGAGCTCCAGAGCTGAGGGAAGCTCCAAAGACCCGGAGGAAGCCAGCTGGCAGGTCTCTTAGGTTTTGAGGCTCCCTGTACCCTTTCTGCTCATCTTACTCCTGTTGATTTTGCAGGACGGGAACTACAACACTAGTTGTTACAGTGCTCTTCCCCAGGAAAACCAAGGGGAGGAGGCAGAGCCCTGGAAAAGGGATGGAAAAAGGGTAAATATGCAGTAACCCCATAAGTGCTGGGTGAGCAATGCACAGACAGGCATCAGAAGACAGTCTGCCAGTAGCAAGGCAGGGTAGGTTTCCTGGGAAAGCACCTGTATCCCTGGCTTTGGCAGGGAAACTCTCTCCCCAACAGGCAATGAACTGCGGAAGAGAGGACATCACCACTGGGAGACTCCCACTAACCATCTCAGCAGTAAGGGTTTCCATCCAAGCTCCAACCAAGACTGTTCACATCACATCTCCAGAAAGAAAGACTTGCCTGGCCACCCAAAATCCCAGGGAGAGGGGGAGACAAGGCAGGTGAGAGGCAGACAGACACACAGCCCTTCAGAGTACAACTATCCCTGCTGAGCATGGGAGAGCATAGCGAGGCCAAGAGCCAGTCTGGCTCTCAGCAATACATTCAGCCACGTCAGGGAGAGAAATGAAGGGATAAAAGAAACAATAACCCTATTGTTTCCTCCCCTTCCAAGATTTTTTTAAAGGATTTGCAACAGAATCTTAAAAAGAAAATTGGAGCGGATGCAGTTGGAAGCATTTTGCTGTGCTTTTATGGTGCAGGAAGCTGCTGGCCCCCAGTTTTCACCAAGTCCTTTGCAATGATGCTGGATGGGAGGGTGCTCACACAGCTGTCAGGCCCCACCTCCCTAAGCCAGGATGGGGACACAGATGCCCCAGCAGTGTATCCGATGCCCAGTGGGGCTCTCCCAGCAGGATAGAGCACATTTATCCACAGTTATCTCCACCACCTTATCCATTAGCTGTTTTTCTTACTAACCCAGAAATAACTGTGCAGTCTTTCAGGAGGAAGGTCTCCAGACATCACAGGAGGACATTGTCCCCATGGTGGAGCTGCCCATTATCAGGGCAAGCAAGAACCCTGGCGGGGCCACCCGGGGAGACAGAACCTCTCAAAAGCAGCTTTGTATCAACAGCCACCACATTGGCAGACAGCTCCTTCATTAACAGGAAACTAGTCAGATAACAGCCTAATTGAATCAATTAAGAGTGCTCCGGGCTGCAGGGAATCCCAGGGAGAGGGGAATGTATGTGCTCAGCAGTATTCCCGGGAAGCAGAACATTCAGGAAGGGCTTTGCCCAAATAAGAGCTGATGGTGTAATGCCAGAGGGACACACCATGCAGATGGCATCAGGCCAGAGGGATACGGCTGCTTGAGGAGCAGGGCCCCAGGTCTAACAGTCTGTAATCAGGCCATATCACTTCCTGGCCAGAAACAAACTCCAAGAAGTCTCTGCAAAAAAAAACACACCTCAAGCCAAGTGCCAGAAGGTAATAAGGTGTGTCATCACTTTGTTTCTTTTCATTTGCTTTTTACAATAAAGTGGAAAAAATTTCCCTTCTAAAAAGATGAGAAAAAAAACAACTATTTTTCATTTAAATCTCATTTGGTGGAAAGCAAAACATCAAGGGGAAATGGTAAACACAGAGGTGCCAAGTTCCCCTGATAGTGATGAACCAGAAGGTCACAAGGTTACTCCTGCAGCGAGTCCTCTGCAGCCAGGACACTGGGGGGTTTCCTCCTGCCAGGGCTGTGTGGCACGTACCGGGGCTGCAGCAGAGAAAGTCTCTGCCGACCTACAGAAGTGATGGTTCACACCACCAAACAGCACGATACACCAGCATGGGCTGGGGCGTGATGAAATACCCTGGTGAGGAGAGCAAACTCTTCCACTCTTGCACAAGAGCAGGAGCTGATGTCAGGGCCAGGCCGTGAGCCGGAATCCCAGGGAGAGGGAAGTTCCCCCTTCCCTTATCGACAGGATTCGCTTTGGCTCAGTGACGGAGGTTTGGTGTAA